ACTTAGGAGGACTACAAGGGTGTTGCGAGGTTATGCAGGGAGAAAATTACAAGGGCCAAAGCCCAGCTAGAACTTAATTTGGCTACTGCAGTAAAAGGCAATAAAAAATGTTTCTATAAATACATTACCAACAGAAGGAGGGCTAAGGAGAATCTCCGTGCTTTATTGGATGCAGAGGGAACCATAGTGACAAAGGATGAGGTACTTAACGCCTTCTTTGCCTCAGTCTTTAATAATCAGACCAATTGTTTTTGAGGTACCCAGCCCCCAAGCTGGAAGATACAGATAAGGAGCAGAAAAAAGTCCCCATAATCCAAGGGGAAATGGTTAGTGACCTGCTCAGCTAATTAGACATACTAATCTACTGTCTATGGGGCCAGATGGGGTCCACCCAAGGGTACCGAGGGAGCTAGCGGAGGTGCTCACCAAGCCACTTTCCATCACTTATCAGCGGTCCTGGCTAACCGGGGAGGTCCCAGTTGACTGGTGGTTAGCAAATGTGATGCCCACCTACAGGAAGGGCCAGAAGGAGGATCCGTGGAACTACAGGCCTGTCAGTCTGACCTCAGTTATGGAGCAGATCATCTCGAGTGCCATCACACAGCACATACAGGACAATCAGGTGATCAGGCCCAGTCAGCATGGGTTTATGAAGGCAGGTGCTGCTTGACTAACCTGATCTCCTGTGACAAGATGACTGGCTCAGTGGATGAGGGAAAGGCTGTGGATGTTATTTACCTGGACTTTAGTAAAGCCTTTGACACCATTTCCCACAGCATTCTCCTGAAGAAACTGGCTGCTCATGGCTTGGACAGATGTACTCTTTGCTGGGTAAAAACTTGGCTGGATGGCCAGGTCCAAAGACTGGTGGTGAATGGAGTTACATCCAGTTGGTGGCTGATCAAAAGTGGTGTTCCCCAGGGCTCAGTATTGGAGCCAGTTCTGTTTTATCTTTATCAATGATCTGGCAAGGGGATCGAGTGCACCTTCAGTAAGTTTGCAGATGATACCAAGCCAGGGGCATGTTGATCTGCTTGAGGGTAGGAAGGCTCTGGAGAGGGATCTGGACAGGCTGGATCGATGGGCTGAGGCCAACTGGATGAGGTTCAACAAGGCTCAGTGCTGGGTCCTGCACTTGGGTCACAACAACCCCATGCAGCGCTACAGGCTTGGGGAAGA